ATATCCAAAGATATCAAGACCATTTAGGACAGTAAAGTCTTAAGAAGGAACGCTATGTACATTGCAAAATATACAACAAAATGCAAATGTTATTTTTTCAACAATCTTTTGAACCAATAAAAATGTGACCTGTAACCAAATGAATGTGAAATATCCCACATTACCTGGGTAAAATTCCTCGTCTTATGTTAGATTTTACAAAAACAGAGCCGTTGGCGATTACATGAATAACATCTTGCAGTTTCTGAAAGGAAATGTATTGTTTCAAATGTATTGCTTGTCGTGATGGTAATTTATTAACAATTCTCACCTCCAGTAATGTTGGAGGAACATTCAACGATGTACAACCAAACTCAAAATGAAGAACGACTTGTAAGACAGAGAAAATGACTTTTTACCTTAATTTTACAATCCATGCTACACGACAGAAGAAGATGAGCAGATTTCGGAAAGAATCTTATTGCAGAAACACCTTTAGTGCGACCAGACCTAAGAGAAGGATAAAATAATACAATAATACATAAGTAAGAAAATCTTCATTGCTTTCTTTTATCACGACGGTAGAAGGATGAACTACAGGAAAACAAATACTTCAATGTTATTAAAAAGTGCTGTATAAAGTGAATATTTGCATCAGGAAGTATCGTTACGTTTTTGTCGAGGTTAGTAGAGTCCTGTGAAGGACTGTTGATGTTGACTGACGTTTCAAAAACCTTAGCAGTAGTCATCTTCAGTGTCAAATGATAAGTAAATGTCGGACATTAATAACGCAATATTTGTTGAATCTCTCAGACCCGCCATGGAGCGAGTAATCACTCAGGAATTTAAAGGCGCTGGTATTTATCTTCCTGGGTCAAGAAGTATAGAAGGCGGTAGCTTTATTGGAAATCTTATTGGAAAACTCATACCTACGGTCACCAAACTCATACCAAAAGTGTTACCGTCTCTAGGCCTAGCAGCTATATCAGGTGCTATCACCGACAGCACGCAAAAAGCAGTTGCTGGTAGTGGTGTAGTTAGGAAAGGTGGTGCAGCTGCTAAAGGTGGTGGACGTAATAACTACACAGTTCACGGCGTTACACTTTCAACGGCTGAGAAAAATAACCTGACAAAGGCAGTCAGAGAAGGAACCGGAGTGACTATACGACTTACCAAAAAAGCACTTGACGGCCTTGACTTGCTTATGCTTACTAAGACGCAAATTAAGCGCATAATGGGTGCAAAACCCACAGGATCTGGGTTGGATCTAAAATTGTCTAAGAGTCAGATTACAGCCATGGTTTCATTTTATAAAGTACTAGCAATTTTTTCTCGCAATAGTCACCATCTTCTGTAATAAAAATAATCACTATGTGTACTTTACCTTGACAAAATACTAATGTCACTTAAGTTAGGTTCCTTCTCTTTGAGCAAATAATAATGTTCACTATCCTTAGCAACAATTTCTTTTGCAGAATCTAAAGAGAAACAAACAAACATCAATTTATTATCTTACTAGAGAGGTTACTAAAAATTGACCTCTTTGTTTTTAGAATTAAAATCAATCTATTCAAAAAATCCTACCAATTTTAGGCTTTTTTGCAATGGGTTGATTTCTTAGATAGCAACTTCTGGTTTGATGTCGTTCAGCAAGGCTAAGTGCAACATTAGTGAAGTTTCCAAGGTATGAAGCCAATCTTTTAAAGTAACTGTGCTTTGCTTCATATCGCATGCACCAGCTCGAATCATTGGTCCAAATCTGAAAAATCAAGGACTCATGTTAGCTAGAGGGAAACCAATGATGTAATTTTACATGCATTTTGAGTTACATACCATATTTTTATTTATAAACTAAGATACAAACCAGCAAAATCATACCTGTAAATATGAGCTGGGTAATGAACCAAGTAATGCATCTTGGGTATAACTGAAAGCCCAGGATAAAGCTGGGTGAATTTCCACAAAAATTCCATCAGGTATCCTTCCAGGATAGCAAGTTCATCAGTGTTTGTGATTGGTGAAAAAAAAATGTCAACAATTTTAAGGAGTAACAGAAAATGCATCCACTTTTCTTCATCCTGAGGAATGGCACTGCCGAGAGCTAAAGGAAGGAATTTTCCAAGGCACCAAATTTGTCTTGCTATAAAAAGAAAAACCAATCATTTAAATCAAGGGTGATGGTATTAATGCTCGTGACAATCACTACACCCCACCTTTTTGCTTTAAACTATTGTTTTCACTCCTCAAAGTTGTCCGAGTGATTGGTGATGGCTTGTTTTTATCATTAAAATATCCATAATCAAAAGAGTTAATTCTTTCATTAAGTTGCTCCACTGTTAAAAATTTTTCTTTAAATATGAAGTCCTTCAGCAATTCTTTACATACATACTGAAGTACTCCTTCTTGTATATCATGCATTGCATCACCTGGCATGCCATCTGCTACATGAAAATACCTAGAGTTGCAAAGAATTGATCTCCTGCAAAGCCCATATGCTTTACTCAGTTCTGGGTTTTCTTCAATCAGTTCACATTGGCGGTCATGACCATCACAAGTGTAAAATGTTTTTCTAAAAACTGAAAGACTTACTTTAAAGTGTATGTTCCTGGTCTGCTAAAAACCATAATAAAACATTTGATCTATGTTGAAACAGGTTGATAATGTATTATCATAAACATACATACCTTCTGCTTTATTTGTTCAGTGGTCCCCATGCATTGCCAGCATTTCAAATGTGCACCTGAACCTTCATTGAATCCACTCATGAGTTGTGATCCAAGATTGTCTCCAGAAACCAACACAATAGTCCCAGAAAATGACATAGGTTCACCTTTAACAATGAACTGGTGACCACCATCCTCAAAAAAGAAGTGTGACAGTTAATTTTAAGCAAATTTTATCAAACTACTTACTGTGCACAATTATCAATAACAGGTAATAAGCTAAAAAACAATAAATAGGATCACTTACTTGTTCAAGGTATTCAAGGTCATTCATGAAAGGCTCCAAGAGAATGTCAATGCTATATTTTTTGATAATTGGAACTGTAGCCATAAGGAGTAGGTGAATGTTATCACACTGGGATCGATATCGAGGATCAATATTTCCAGTTGTGTAGTAAACAACTCCTCTCATACAGAAATAATGGCATATGATGTAATAAGAGCTTCTTATAGCCTTTCATTGCTCATACACTTTTTTACATTTGAGTGACTGATTTAGTCACTATGATGTCATTAAACTATTACCTAACTTATGCTTTCCAGTTTTACTACCAAGGGCATTTGCAATTTCCAACTCATCATAGTAAAGCATGATTTGTAAAGCAGTTGAGTCCTTGGAAAACAGAGGATGGGTTTTGAAATACTGGCCATCGCAAACATCCTCAATCACATCATCATGTTTATGTTGCCAAGATGACCATGGTTTAGCTGAAATTGAAATCGAAGAATGAAAATATTAAATTTATTAATAAATTAAATTTATTATTAACCAGCAATGGAAATGTCTGGTGGTAGGATGGGTGCCTTCCTACCATCAGACATTTCAAATTAAAATCAGGCTATTTTCATATTTTCATGAAATAATTGGAATATATTTTGGAAATGTGCTCTAATAAACGCATGTCATCATTGTTTTTGCTTTCATGGAAACTAACACAGTAAAACACACATAAAGTTCCTTTTATGGTTATACATAGAACATGTATTAATATTTTGCAACCCTGTTATTGATATGGGTACTTGCAAAGATGTAGTTGTCATAGTTTGATAAACTTGCCAACATAAAAAACACAACCATGCTATTAACAATCTGACCTGTTCAAGTACTCCTTTTACATTGAGCATTTTTTCCAAGGATTTAAGCAGTGGTATGTACATGATTTCGTCATCTTTAATAACCTCTTTGTACACAGTCCTTGAACGTCTTTTCACAACTCTGTGTCCAAGTTTAATTCGTCTGGGTTGCTACAATTAAAATAATGATTATGCATAACAAGCACTAAAGAGCAGCTGGCTCAAATATGTTAAAAATCTCAAAAACTTTATCCAAAACTCTAAACATTCTAAAAAGTCAAAAACATAGAAATAAAACTTACAACTAAGCCAAAATGCTCCTCAAAATAAGCATTCTGTTTATACTTTGTGGAAATATGTTTGAATGGATTTGAGATAGCATGTCCTTCATCAAATAATTCATCAAGACCTGGCACATCATTATAATTTAATCCAGCTTTCTCTAAGCAATTTTGCAAACCGTGTTTAATTGCTTTGACTGTTCCTTGGACAAGTTCAGTGGAATCTTCTACAATGTTATCCACACATTTTGTGTGAGCAGATTGATTTCTTTTGTTTTAGAAGAAATTGAGCCTTTTGTGTTCCATTGCTTGAACAGAGTCATCAAGTTCATTTTCCTGTTGAATTCATCAATTAAGAGTTCAAGGCCATCCTCATCAGGACAAAATTGTTGTGAGTGCTACTCGCTGATTCAACGCAACATAGATGACGTGAGTTTAAGTCAACATTGGCGTGCTTTCTTCTAAGATGACTTTTGTAAGAGTTAACCTAAACAACAAATCCGTGAACGCACTGAATAAGTAAATATTTTTAACAAATAACAAACAAATCAGTGTCGTATCAAGAATCAAAAGCTTACCTTAGCGAAGGTTGAATTACATTCCGGCACTTCGCAGAGAATATGCAATCTGGCATCGTGTTCATGAACAGCGACCAAATGATGCAACATTCCAGCGACAGACGTTGAAAAAATCGTTGCACATACCTGACAACACAATCGTGGCATAATTAATTGAATTTTACGAATATTATTGCGTCACTAGTCAAGTGACAACTCCGTTACCGTTTGTTAGAGCAATGAATGAGTAAAATCAGATCAATATTAAGTGTCATTAAGTGCATTTCTTTGTCCAATTAGTTGCGAACTTGCGGCGATTGGTCGATTTGGTCACATGACATCCCATTACGCAAAGCGGCACGTGCCTGACTGCCTGTTGCCGATGTATGTAGTCGCGTGGCGTGTTTCTAAACTTCTTGTGCTTTGTTGAAGTGCATTTAAGCGTTTAAACTCTTGTATTGTGGGCAAAATGGAAATCAACAAACAATCATCTGTCGCTGACATTATTCTTTTTTTGAAAAACAACAAATTGGATGAAATTGTCGAAGATTTTAAAGGTATTGTCTCATCCTGAAATGTAGGTCGCATGTGTGAGGGTTGTTGTCTCGTGCATAAATCTAGTGTAGAAAATAATTCAAAATTAGATTTATAGATGACTTGCCTTGTTTACGTTTTGCTAGCAGGCAGATTTAGTCGAGCGCTTTTAGAGAATACCAACAGCAATAACGTAATTTCATTGACGTTTTGCTTCTTATATTTTTAAAGCTAATCAAGTCGACGGCGTGGATTTTTTCAATTTAGAGCCACATGATATTTATCAGATGATTCCTCGAATAAAACTTCACAAGAAGTTTACGTGTATTTGGAATGACGTTACTCAAAAGGTAAATTGAAGCCTTACAGGTTTTCTACATAAAATAGTTCAAAATACTTGGTTTGTTATTGGTTTGTTGATTATATTTTTTACCGCCATGTGCTCTGATTGTGTCGTTATAAAATCACCAGAAGTAAAATTTCAGGCTTCATCTATTAACAGGGGTCATCAGCTTCAACAACATACTCTTGTGTCACTTCCAACAACATCAGAACCATCAACAAGGATGTGAATCCAGACATTACGAGTAATTCAGCTGATCATCAAGAAAATCATGATGAGGTATCAAGCAACCCAGCTTGACTTGTTTGTCTTGTAATTGTGTGGATCCAGATGAACCATTGCTCCCATTTTGCTTGAAATACCTTAAAAGCATTTAATCTGCTTACTATGTATTGTTTTGTTCGTCTATGCTTTAGTTATGTTGTATTATGTTTGATGAAGAGTTACTATAAGTAGAATTTATGATTCAATCCTCTATTAACAGGGCTTGTCAGAATCAGCTTCAACAGTACACTCGCACATCTATTCAAGCCACATAAGAACCATCAACTTGGATGTAAATGAAGACATTGTTCTTAGTACTTTAGCTGATCATCAAAATGATGAGGTATGAAGGCTGAAGCCATTATTTGTATAAAATATTTGTTCTAATGCTAGTTCATAAATATACAATGTATAAACAAACAAACAAACAAACAAACAACATTTATATACCGGCCAGTATTAATCCCCGCCAGGGGGGTTGACCGGTCCATGAATTTTTCCACGCCACACGTCATTTCTTTACTTCTTTATGTTGTATGTTAAGGTTGAATTTTACTATTTTTTAAGAACATTCAACCAGAGAGACATCTCAAGGACAATGTTCCAAGGAGTCCCTTGACATCTAATGTGAACAATTCCAATTGGTTGTCCAAGTTTTGTTTGCCAACAAGAGTAAGTAGCATTAAAACTTAGTTTTTTACACACTACAAGTTTAAAATATGTTAATAAAGGTTGCCATATCATATTAAACCATGCTGTTTGTGTGTAGTGAGAACCAGCAGTGGAGGAGGCATTAAAAAGGCAGGAGCTAAATTCAAATGAAAAAAATGCATTAAAAAGGCAATTAACTTCTTCTCCAGCTGAAAGCAGAGTTAGGACATATTTTGGAGAAGAGTGATGTTGTGCAAGACATGAAGGAACGATGGAATTTGCACAGATATAAAATGCTGTCTGTTATTAAAAAGACAAAGCAAAAGAATGTCAGCAGTATCCTTGAAGAGCTGGAGGATTGTCCAGTTGAAGATGAGAAAGGTTGGTGTAAAAATCAATAAGTTAAAATCCCTATTTATACTGAAGTGTTAATGCTTTAGAGAGTGATAATGGTAATATATTCATTCTATGCAATGTTGATTATTTTAGAGGTCAAGAACCGGTGTATAATGGCATGTTTGCCTTATGTGTTAGATGACCAATGCACCCATCGAGATATGAACAAAAAGCTATTTTGGGACATTGTTGATGTAAGAGTTGATATTGTCACAAATAATATTTTCTGCATAAATGTGTGAAAAAATTGATAAATAATTTTATCTCTGTTGAAGGGTAAAAGCTTGGGGGAAGTTCAAGAGATCATTAACAAAAGTTCGTCTCCTGGACTCCTATCAACAGGAACATTAAGAAACATTCATTCAATAATGTTGGTGGCTGAGGGGATGATTGTGGCAAAGCTGAAAACGGAAAATATTGTCAATGCAGTTATTATTTTACTTAGTTCTTTTAATACTTTTAATGCTGAGTATCCTAAAGGCGTTAATGGACATTGCAAAAATGTAGTTATTCTTTTAGAACATTTGCTTTTAAATTCGAAAGGCAATTGTAAGGCTCAATTGCCAACTTTTGTCGATCATTTTATGTCTTCTATGAAGTAGAAAACTTTTGTAGTGTTAATTAATGGCATGTAGTAGAGATTTTAAGTATTCTGAGTTTGCAAAAAATGTGCTATTTATAATTGTGTGATTGATTTTCTTTAGCTTAGTTAAAAAGATCCTCTATATTGGTCAAATGGTCATGGATATGCACCTGAAAAAATGCTTATTTAATGGTAAAACAACCAAATAAAATTGGTCAAATAAATTGGTAAATTTAACCATTTTGTTTTGGTATTTTTGACCAATTTAGGAATTGGTTGTTTTGACCTATAAAATTGTTCTTCTCAGGTGCATTCAAATGACCAATTTTTTGGTCATTTTGACCAATCTATTTTACTGTGTAGAACATTGGATTCCAGGGTTAGAAAATTACTTGATCATAAAACTAAATGGCATTTTCAAATCTTGAAAAAGTTTGACGTAAAATAATATTAAATATATAATTTTATTTTGACTATGTTGATTAAATCTACTTCATTCAGTAGCTAAATAATTGCAGGCTACCAACATGTATGAATTGCGTGCCAATTTTTTTAAATGTATGCCATTGTATTTAATAAACGCAGTGTTTTGGGAGATGTACCCAAAAGCCAAGAAATGAAAAGAAACGTGAATATTCATGATAACTACGATAAATAATGTTATGACAAATGTCTTCACTTGGCCCCAAATGTGGACACTGTTTTTTCAAAACAAAACGAAATGGGAGGGAAAACCGGCGGATCCGGTAAAAACCCTCCAATAAAAAAAAAATAAAAATTTAGAAGAATTGCCTCAAATTTTGTAGTGTTTTATGATGTTTTATATTTTGTTGTTTTCAATGATCCCGATGATCTACTTTAACATGCAGCGTAGTCAGATCGTGCGTCTTATACAGTCGTATAAAAAATTTAAATTTACGGAGCAATAAAAATGTGGGCTGACTACCCTATTGACACAGCAAATATTTTTGTTCGTACAAAGAAACGCAAACTTTGTAGAGCACAAAAATGAAATAGTGCAGAGTGTTAACAAAAATTGTAATCAATAGACGAAAAACGAAAACTAATAGCAGCCATATATAAATAATGCATAAAAATTATTCAGTACGTAGGGACCTGACCATTCACCTGTCCATAACAATTAAAAATGAAATGACTAAAGAGACGTTATGACTTGCATAAAAATAATTTTGATGTCTGCTAGACTTTATTCCATTGAAATTTTCTATGTTGCCTCATTAATTAATAGCTGGCTTTCACTCGTGTGTTTTGTCAGAAAATTTAACAATTGTGAACATTTAGTTATACGGAAATTTTTAACGGTCGAATTTGAAAATGCGTTATACTGATAGACATTATGGATAAATAAATTAGCAAGTGTGCATCTTATAATAACGACGCTTGTTTCTTGGTGTTTCTGCCCGACTTCGTCGTTCATTCATTGTCCAGTTAGAAGGCCTACAGACATAGCTACTCTATAAAAAACACGTTATAAATGTCAGCATAATGAAGGAACAAAACAGAAATTAATTATATTGAAAAGAACAAAACTTTAATACCTGATTTCCAAGGGTTGTCCTGGTCAGTTTGATCCAGGCGACTTGGTCGGTCTCTTCCTTTTTTTTCACCGCGTAGTTTTTACGTTGTATCGTTGAAATTAATTGTAAAATTTTTATCTTAGTAATTCAATGAACCCTACTTGCATCATTGCAATTTTCTTAATAAACGTTAAATAAAATTACTAAAAGTAGCGAGTGAAAGCCAGCTATTTTCTCACAGCAAGTGACATCTTTTATTGACACTTTTTAAGTTGGGTGTTTTCATGGTTAAGTTTCAAATTATAAAGATAGACCATCAGGATCCTTTTAACTATCTCATGCAGTTACTCATACAAGTTAATTTTAACACTTATATCTACTCAACTTACAAACCACAAGATATAGATCGTGTTTTTCCACTCGCTTGTTTTCCATCTTCGTAGAATGTAGTCCATTTTTATAGTGCAATCACTTCAATGTAAATGTTCATACGTACATATGCCGTTATGCGATGTCCATTCAACATGTCGATACCATTCCATACACGAAGTAAGGAGCATCATCAACCAATAAAGAAGCTACTGATATGATGAATCGCCATTTCGATAGACTACAATTCACAATGCACTGTTATGGTAACTTCAAGCGAAGGAAAGGGACCGCCCTTCAATACCCCAGTTTTATCATTACTCAAAGAATGCTTAGTGCAGAGTTGATCTTCTGTGAGTATCAGTTGACCACCTTTAGGTGGGTTCATATAACAATGGGGCCCATCATCATTATATGAACAAACAACTGACATCAACAAAGAATCCAAACTACAAATGAACATTCTTGGCCATGAATCACCATGACACATGAGTAATGACAAACTAGTAAGAGTAATTGAAGTGAATGACACAGGTGGTAAAGGGACTTTCACAACTCCATTCTTGTGGGATCTACAATATAAGAAAATATGAAACACATGTATGAGATTTCATGATGAATAACTCTGCATATGACGTTAGTTTGCGTTTTAAATTCTTAATCAGATATATTGAGAATGAGCAAATTGTTATATGTTTTCTGTTTGACTATTTAAACGGTAGAACATTCACCTTCATTGCACGAATAGCTTTAGTGAGTTGAGTTTGAACGATGTAACAAGTTTCACACGATCAAAGACTTATAATCGTGATGAAAGCATTTTACAGTGAAAGCTTTCAGATTACGAGGCCTACACTAAGACCAGTTCATTATTCCATGTAACTCATACTTCAGTATTCGTCAGTAAAAAGACAGAATTTACCTTTCTTCCTACAACGTTAAAGTGAGTAATTTTCTGTTGAAGTAAAACACACGAATTTAAACATGTTAACGTTTCTTTAATTGACGTCATAACTAAAATTATTATTGTGATTGGCTCCTTAGGAGCATGTCACCTTTCACAAAGACAACAAGTAATCCTTCAATGCGTTTTTAAGGCCTGTTTCAAACATCGCATTTTGCATGTGCCGAATGTATTTAAGACAAAAGATAATAAGGAATTTTATCTCATTATCTTTTGTTTTAAATGGCCTTAAAAACGCATTAAAGGATTACTTATTGTCCTTGTGAAAGGTGACATGCTCTAAGAATCATCTAATAATTTTAGTTATGACGTCAATTAAAGAAACGTTAACATGTTTAAATTCGTGTTTCAACAGAAAATTCAAAGTCAAATGACTACCGCTAAGGTTGTTGAAAGTTAAATATTCGCTGTGCAAATTATTTACCATCCAGTCATAGTGAACTTTGCTCTAAGAAACTTGACAATTTACAAGGTGTAAATACTGTGAAATCAACTCTAAAATCTCGCAAAAAACCATTTCTCAATGACCAATGAACGAAAACGGTCACTTTCAATTTCGCGTTGGAAATGGGCTCTTGGTAGATAAATGAAAAATGTGCCACAGGAAAACAAATAGTAAAATATCTTCGCAAAGTGAAAGTTTTAATGAGAAAAACATGTTATTTTATCATTATGAAAATGTTATCTATGTTCTTTTCACATGCTTTCCTTGACTTTGAAAAATGTTCAAAAAACAATAATTTTACATGGGTAAACAAAGAAATTGTTCCCGTGAGATGAAACGTAACATGTAAAATTTACCTTCCATCTTTACTAAATGATGTTTGTCGAACGGCTGCTGTACATTTAGGATGAGAGAGAACTTTCTGCCTGCGTGGGAATTAAACAAATAAAATTGCATTAAGATGATGTATGTTGTTACCATTGAACATGGAACGCTACCTGAAGCAAATATTTAAAGCCAAATCTTACATCCAGACACGCGAGATTACACGCAGACACGCGTGTTTAGTGTTTCGAGATTCTCTCGCGGAGTGAAAATTGATTGACGACACATGTCCCCTGGAGTCCTCGTCATCACCAGGACCATCCACTTCAGACATACGTAGAGGTGGTTTCCAGTCCATTTCCTCTTTATCCTCCAAACTGCAAGTGAAGAAGACAGCTACTCAAAACTTTAGAGAAGATTGATTGTTTTTCATTTAAGATGTTTACAGTGTTTGCACAGGATTATGAAAAGCAAGGAGACCTTTGGGAGAACTAGATCAGTGATGTCCAGAGTCAAAGGATTGCACCTGCTCCAAAGTTCTCACAAACGTCTCCGAGGTTTGCATAAGCCTGTGTAAACACGAAAAACATCTTTTACTTCTTTCATAAAACAACGGTAATACAAAACAGACAAATTTAAAACAAATGTTTTAATTTTTCTTGTAACATGTATTCATGATTGATTTGGAAATTCTCTTTGATTGATTTTAATTGATTGAGCTCAGATAGGTTCGCTCATGCCAAGTTTGCTACTGTTAACTCAACTATAGACAAATCATAGTGATAGTAAGTGATACTTTACTTTCTACCATACAAACTATTGCAGAGAAACGAGCAAACAAGACAGAGACACAACACCAAATCAAACAACTACAAAAACTTGAACGTTTAAAACAAACTAAAACACGTGCAAGACATAAACATGACGATAACTGGGTGAGAAATACTTCTTCCCGCCCATTAGACGAAACTGAAACGCGACTACTATCTTACGGACTAAAAATTCCATAACACCTAGACAAATCCCGACTGAGACGATAGTATCAAGTGTCGAGGCTGTCCTAGCGTATCAAAGAGACTTGTCAGAGACAACCAAAGACGAGATCAGAAGCAGGATAGCCTCCACTTTCAATCGTCCACTATATAAGCGACAACAACTTGACAAAGAACGAACAGCAAGCACTCAAACGACTAAAACACGACAACAACATCGTCATTTTACCAGCAGACAAAGGACGCGTGACTGTGGTCATGGACAGGAATGATTACTTTAACAAAATGGACGCACTTGTTAACGACAGACAAACGTACGAACAACTCAAACGAGACCCAACACCATCACTAGTACGCAAACTTAACAGCAAGATCTTCTCTATGAGAAAATCTAACATTATATCTGAACGTATTTACTATCGACTCAGATGTTCAGTACCACGACCATCCAGACTATACGGACTACCAAAACGTCACAAACCACAAATACCCATGCGACCAATTGTATCATTCTGTGGTTCGCCTACTTACGAACTTCCAAAGTACTTGACTAGCATACTGCAACCACTTACAAACAAATCAAAACACAAGCTACAATCCACTGAAACTTTCAAACTGTGCACTATACAAATACCGGACAACTATATACTAGTGTCTTTTGATGTGAAATCACTGTTCACCAGTATTCCACTCAATCTGGCACTTACTTGTACAAAAACCCTCATTACAAACACCAAGGACGTACTGCCATTACCGACAGAAGACATTATGGAGTTACTAGAGCTCTGCCTCACCTCGACTTACTTCCAATACAAAGGAACACACTACAAACAATTACATGGGACAGCAATGGGCTCGCCCGTTTCTGTTGTAGTTGCTGAAATTGTAATGCAATCTAAGAGGAACGGGCGCTCATGACTTACAAACATACACTACCTTTTTGGTTTCGCTACGTAGATGACACAATCACAGCACTACATGCAGACGAGATTGATGACTTCCATACTCACATCAACAAACAGAACAGCCACATACAATTTACCAAAGATGTCGAAGAAAACGGAACTCTTCCTTTTCTCGACTGTTTGGTAAAACATGACAATCAAAAACTACGAACAACAGTTTATCGCAAGCCAACACATACTGACCGACTACTAGACCAATCATCTTACAACCCTACATCACACAAAGCCACCACAATCAGAACATTAACAAGACGTGCACAAATCATATGTGATTCACCGGACGCTCTACAAAACGAAAACAACTATCTCAAACGTGTTTTTGACAAAAACAACTATAACTCTGACTTTATCAAACGCAACACTTACAAACCCAACGAACCCAACGAAACGAACAACTCAGTGACAACAGCAACGATACCTTACATCAAAGGTACGTCTGAGACTATCTCGCGTATCTTACGACCATACAACATACGTGTCGCACATAAACCAAATACGGCTAACCTGACGTTTACTCCTCATTTGACTCTGAAGATGACTACCGCTAAGGTTGTCGAAACGTCAGTCAACAACAACAAAAACAGTCCTTCTCAGGACTTTATTAACCTGGACGATCATCATTTACAAACATATAACGATACTCCCGGGTTCAAACCATTTACTTTATAGACAAATCAACGCACGCATTTTTCTGTCTTTATTTTATAAACAAAAATGGATACTTTTACCTTTGGGAATCATGTTCTTCTTCATCATCTTTCCAAAATGGCTGTGACATTAATATTGATTCTTTATCTTCATCAATATCTTCATCATGTTCATCATCACTACCTTCTCAATAAACAATAAAATAAAAAAGATTGATTAAAAAATTTCATATAAGACAAATTTTACTAAACACAAATGGAACTGTACACAATCACCATTGATATCCATGTCTAATCATGGCAGTGTGCAAATTAACGGTGTGCAATGTGCAATTTACACATCGTTTTAGCTAAAATGAAAACAATTGCACATCACTTTTTCAAACGATATGCAAAAAACTTCATTAATGATTACTACTACATAAATTGAAGAAAGTTTTCAAGCTTAATCTTTACAGATCTTTACTTTATAAACGAGTGCGCTGCACGACATTAAAATCCATGTTGACACAATGTCATCAAATTCAAAGACGTTCTCACTTTGAGACTGGGAAGTCTGTCAACAGTCAACATACATAGTGCTTATATGCTTTTGACAATAGGGGTGTAATATATTATTAATGCCAATTTTTGCATTTGCGTTGTTTTGTAAACCGTTGCGTACTGTTTTTGATATCATAGCTATTTTGAGTATTTTTGAGAAAATCAGGAAACATTTTGATTCTTAAAAGACAAAAAAGAACTTAAATAAGCCAACTTTGAAAAATAAACCAAAAGGAATTTCGATTTTAAATAAGTCTAACGTGAGAAAAAGAAACGAAATTTGGCTCAAAATATTAAGCCAAACTGGCGAACTTGAACAAATATGATGTTTTTTTATCGTAAGCAAACATCAAGGATGTTACTGTTAATAATCAGAAAGAAAAAGTATATTCGATTATTCTCTTTTTAATTTTGCACAAAAAAAGAGGAGAGAATAACATGCGCAAAAAACGTCTTTCATACATTTGTAACTGGATCAGCGATTGTAACGAAAAACCCTGTCGTAAATCATGAATTTGTTCACGTTTAAAAATGTTAATTTAGCAATTAGCGCTTTGTAATAATTAACGTAATATAGATTTGATTATGCCTCTAAAGAAACACTTTTGTCAAAAAAATTGCACATCGTTTTTTGTCAACTAATTCGCACACTGAATAAGATCTAACGACAAAAAAGCTAAATTTTTACCTACGTATTGTTAACTGTTAAGTAAAAGAAAATTAATAAAGGAGCAGTTGTACACATCTTCATGTAACGATGACAATGTTTAAACTTAAGAAAACATGAAATTTTATGCACTGGAAAACAGCTGCATTTTGGGATATATAAGTCAGAGCCTCATAAATCATAAATACAATGACAATATAAAATGCATGAAATGTATTGTGAGTTATACAATGATGTAACATGTATTTTTTGTACCTTACCTTGTGAAACAGGAAGAGCAACTTATGAAGATAGTCCAATATCTCGTCTTCGTTGTCTTTCATCTTCCCACATAGCAGTTATACCAGGATTATGACCAATACAACCTTCATAAACATAATAAACACATTAAAGATGTATAAACAGTAAAATGAAGACATAAAGATAAGTAAACTTTACTTTCAACATTTATTTGATTCAAGATGTCTTCAGCAATTACATCAACTTCAAGTTCACAACGACTGACTTTTTTCACAGTAGGATCCAGGCATAAATTTCTAAATAATGACAAATAACAAACATTAAAATGATGAATATCAACTGTAAAGATAGTTATCACAAAGAATCATTTCAAAGTTAACCTAATTTTTTAAATGTAAATTCTGTAATCTTGATTGAGCATTGACTCTAAATCTTGGGATAAATCAAACGCACATGGGTCCAATTTAGGATTAAGGATTTACACAAATCCTTTTGGTTTCAATTAATCTTCAAGTGTAAAATATATGAATCAGACAAACCTAGGAATAGTGTCTTCATTCCAGTGTTGAGATGAAGGAAAATTGAGAAATGAATTTGGAGATGAACCATGAAGTGGAATTGATTTATTATTATATGAAAGATTTTTATCTATAAAATTCAATTTGATGGTAAATAATCATTTGTGGTGTTAGATTTTCATAGAATGCTGAAAAAATCAATAATGAAACTTTCCTGTTTTTGAAGAAATTCCTCTAAAATGAACTTTTCTTACACGAAGTAAGTTCATACCATAAAGATTGTAATCAATTAGAAACTAAAATAAACGATATTTCATTATAATTCTTATAATGTAACTTAGTGAAAATCTATAGAAGTTGACCATCCAGGTAGGAAAAGACTAAAAAAGGTCAGTGGCATTAGTGTTGAATGACATTTTAACATTGTTAGCAGTAACCATCTCATCTAGATGTGAAAACATCAATCAAGACTACCCCCAACAATCCTTCTCAATACTGTAGTATCCTTTATGATCAACATCAACAAACATGCAGCTATACTTCCACAATGTGTTCAAACCATTTACTTTATTGACAAAATGTTTTGCACATGAAATTTACAGCTATAATCCATAGTGGAATGTTTTATTGGGCACCTGAGATCTGATGTATAATTATAGCAAAGTGGGCACCTATATATGCAAATGTTAAATCTCTGATGTTGGTAGAAATGTCAGCCCATTTTTTACTCCTATGTACAATACAAATATTGCTTTAATAATTACTTTGAAAAACAATGAATGAGATTAATTTCTAAAGAAATAAACAACAAACTTTGCAGGCCTTGCCCCTGTCTGGTGCACAGTTTACAAACTAACCACTCCAGTCTGGGTTATAACAATCAAAGATGTGTTTTTCCTCTTAAATAATAAAAAACAATAATTACCTGTAGAATATAAGGAACATGAGCTTCGTGTGGTTGAAATGACTTGTTCAATATAGCTCCATTCTGAAGAAGATCAACAAGTCTGAAAATAATGAAAAATTTTGATGTCGTTTTATGTTAGAACAACATGAAAAATATATCTTAATTGGGAATTATTCTTGGATTTTACAACTCTATCTTAATAAAGTCTTCTTCGTTCTCATGATAACCATAAAATGGTCTAAAAAATAAAATCATTTTGGGTGAATAATATTGAAACGTTATTGGGTCAAAAATACAAGATTTTCCATTGTGATATAAAGAAGTAAAAAAGATTTAATAATACTAAGCTTTGTCAACAGGAGGAGAAAACAAGGAAAATAACTTACATTTTTTTAACAATTTCAGTTTTATGAACATATTTCATAGAAGATGATGTTCTACCAAACGCAACTTGAACAGCAAAGTCTACACTTGTCGTAAATTGTTTCAGATACTTATCTGTGGGTTTAGTTCCATCGTAAGGTATGTATAAGTAAGGAAATACTTGATGAATATGAACACAAGTTTTCTGTCCACCAGGAGTTGAGACAAATATCCTCAAAACAGGAACACGGTTAACATTCGCCTCGCGAAATTTAGAAAACAAAATATCTAAGCCATCTATAGGTTTTCCCACGAAAAAATCTACATCTACAATCCTAACAGAAAACATTCTGTTGTTCCAAGTAAGAAAATATATCGTCAATTAAAATTTTTGAAAGACGAAAGACGAGAGTTGAATCCGCCATATTTGTTTTAGATTATAGATTAGCCAATCAAAGATTTTATAAGCAAACCTTTATACCAAGTCATCGTAATCACCTTTTTGGGATTAGATGGGATTTAGAAATTTTCCAAGGGTGAGCATGACTTTATAGACCTCGCTAGAAAGGCTCACGCGTTTGTCGTTAGAAAATATGCTCCCCAGAAGTTCATGTCTTTCTTTATGTCTAAATACGACACTGCATGTAAAGGATTTCCGCTTTCGTCGAGCAAAATAATGTCCGCATCCTGATGTTTTTGTTCCCGTACACCCATGTCAATACTGAAAATTAATAATAGTTAAATGTGTACAACATTTATGAGTTAATTGAGTTCAACTGAAATTGAATTTGCAATAAAATTTCTAAATCAATCCCTGTCGTGTATATTTCAATTATAGCTAAAATATAAAATTTGCTCATCTCATTTTATCGTCTCGCGGTTATGAACAGAATTCAATATTTTACAATAAAAACAGCAGGTGATAAAAATTGAACATTTATTGAACATTCCAATTTCTTTATTATCAAGCAGAAGCAAAGGCATCACGTAGCTGGTTGCGTCTCTTTTAATCTTTCTAAATTTGTTAAGGTATGTTGATTATAAAGTTCACCTGTCATAGTGTCATAGTTCTTATGTCTAGAATTTTGTTATATTTGTCATAAAAAACCTGAATGTCATTTTCGTGGTGGAATTCACACTTCAAATGTTTTATATTGATACATCTGTTGACTTTGGTGGGATTTTCCAAATAACACATTGGATAATTTATCATTTCAAAATACTGACCTTTCTTGCATTGTCACCAACAATTAATTTCATTAGTCTTTTCAAATATCATTGGTACGGCAGGGCTAAAAAATCAACAAGATGACTCAAAATTATGACACGTCACAGAATTTCAGTATATGCATATCATAAATGCGGAATGATTTTAACTTTATCTAACATGGCTTTTATCAAGAAGAACTTTTTCATCATTTATATAGTTATCTATCTATTTATCTTATTCCTAACACAGATGATGACATAAAAACGTTTTGCTAGGTATGTCTTTAGAAATTGCGCCTACTTGGAGTGAAAAGCACACTTCTTCACGTGATAGTACACGTGATTTATTTCTGGTCTATAATTGTTCAACTTGTTGTAAGATAGACTATTTAAAATATTTGTTTGCGTCAAAAGTTCACAAAATGACAAAACTTTGCATGATGAAGTGTCAAGTCGAAACGCTATCAACTTTGAAGTATCTCTGATTACTGAGATGTGACAAAATTATTCAAAATTAGAGACTTCGAGATTAATTACTCAGAAATTTCCTATTTAAATAAAGACTGCCCCTAAAATCTTGATCCCTCCAACTTTTACTTGCTTCTCACGCCCCTGATCAAATTATTTGTTTATCCGTATCAAAAGTTTACAAAATGACAAAACTTCATTCACCACCTTTCAAAGTTGGAACGCTGACAATTTCAGAAAAGCTCTGTTTATTGATTTTATTGACTTCTTTAATTTTTGATCTTTCTTTTTTGCAAAATGCTGGCTGTCCCGTCTTCCTTTATGTTATTTGATTAACTCACTGTGTTTCCTCCAAGTTTAAAAACGTAATCTGATGTAGATCTTCTCAAATCTATACCTCTCGCCCGATCGGAATCTAAAAACCAACTAATTTCAGCGGTATCCTTCAGTCCATAATTTAACGTTACTTTTAGATAACAAAGAACACGCTTCACCTCGATCCAATGATCATTGCTTGGTTTTGCCTTGTATTTAGATAGGACATTTACAGCTGCTCTGATATCGGGACGGGTAATTACTGATAAATATGTTAAGCATCCTATAGCTGGTTGATATGTCTGCACATCAACAAACCTTCTTGTTTTCTTGCACTTCATTAAATTTCTTGCCATTTTTCATCGGTGTGGACATCAGTTTGCACGATTTCATACCAAATCTTTTCGATATCTTTTCCATATAATTTCGTTGACTTATTGTTATTGTCTTCGCCTTGTGATCACGATTGATCAGCATTCCCAATAAGAAGTGAACTTCTCCACGATCATCCATCCTGAATTTTGGCATAGTGCTTGTTTTTCTGCATTAAGCATCTCGACATCGTTGGACACTGCATGCAATATATCGTCGACATAAAATCCTAGAATCACAAAATTAATGTGCCCATTGTCCTTCTTTACTGATTTAACATATATACATGCGTCTGCATCATTCTTTCGATAACCAATTGATAGTAGATATTTATCAAGCGTATCATACCAACATCGAGCTGACAATAAATGCTTTTATTTAATCCGCATACGTGATTAGGTTTCCGTGGATCAACGAATTCATTTGGTTGAGATATATAAATTTCGTAATCTATATTGCCGTTTAGAAACGCTGTTTTGACATCCATCTGGTGGATTTCAAGATTCTGAGCATTTCCCATAGATAACAGAGATTGCATTGACGTGTATTTGGCCACAGGAGAAAATACTTCTTCGTAATCTGTTCCTTTCGATTGTGAGTATCCTTGTGGAACCAGTCTGGCTTGACATCTGTCAACGGATCCATTTTCATTCCTCTTTACCTTGAAAACCCATTTGGAACCGATGATGTTCTTCTCTTTCGATGGTGCAACCAATTCCCAAGTGTTATTCTCCAAAAGAGATGAGTATTCTTCTGTCATGGCATTCTTCCATAATTCTGCATGCTTTCCATTCAGTGCTTCATTAACGCTTTTACGATCATCTATGTCTGAAATCAGCGATTCAGCAACTTGATATGCGTCTTCACGAAATTTATGAGGGATTTTTCTTTCTCTTGTTTGTCCTAAATTTCTTACATCTTCCATAAATGAATCTTTGTATGTCTTACGAATTGGTGGTTCTACATTTTCTCCCACTTGCGCAGTATCTTCTCTGCTTGAGCATTGTTCATCATTTATAGTCATCCTTTGTTGAAACTGTGTCGCTTGCTCTTCTGGATCAGTTGTATCAGCATTTTCGTTGGTTCCTTCATTCTGTTTTTCTTCTGATGTTACATCTTCTTCGTCCATATGAACGACGGTATCGCTTAACATATCGACCTTCCTCTGCTGTGATTGTTCAACAAAGGAAATTTGTTTTCAAGAAATACTACGTCTCTACTGATTGTAAAACGAATTCGGTTTAAGTCGAATACCTTGTATCCTTTAGTGGTCGAGGGATATCCGACAAAGATTGCTTCGTTTGATTTTTGATTAAGCTTCTGACGATTACAGCTTTGGACGTGTGAAAAACATTTGCATCCAAACACCTTTAGGTTTGAAAGATCAGGCTTCTCTCCAAATAAGCATTCAAATGGTGTTTTGTTCTTTAATGAAGCTGTGGTACTTTGATTATGAAGATAAATGGCGGTATTACAAGCTTCCACCCAAAAGTTCAATGGCAATGCAACTGTGAATATCATTGACCTGGCAGAATCCAGCGTTGCACGGTTGAGACACTCTGCCACTCCGTTCTGTTCTGGGTAATATATTGCTTGTGAATTCTTGATTTATTCCTTCATTGGCGCAATAATTGATGAAATCGTTTGATGTGTATCCCCCATTATTGTCAATTTTTAAGATCTTCACATGTCATTTGTTTGAACTCTGGTTTTTTCACATAATTAACAAATTTTTCAAACTTTGCGAGTACTTCACTTTTGCGCTTGATGAAATATGCAACTGCAAATCGTGAATAGTCGTCAATAAATGTTACCATATATCTACTGCCTCCCTTCGATTCAACTTGCATGAGACCACATATATTACTGTGGACAACTTCATATGCTTTAGTAGCTCTGTGTTGACTTGCTTTAGAAATGGATTTCTGTGCATCTTTCCGCGGATGCATCCTTCACAATTGTTTGCAGCTTTCTCGTTTCTCCATTATCCATTCCCTTCACCATATTTTTCTTCATCATTTTCTTTATGTAATCATGATTTAGATGGCCTAACCTTTGATGGCATATTTGAGGAGATGTATCAATTGACGATTGAGAATATTCAGGATCCTTCACAGTATGTAACATACCATCTGTTAACTCGCCAAAAACATAATCTTTATTATTCTTTGATACAAAACAATCATTTCCATCAAATTGCACTTTGGTTTCCATGGCAATCATTGCTGGTACGGAGTAGATTTTTTGCAAGCTTTGGCACATACAACACTTTGTGCAACTTCAATTGCAGGTCATCATCAACATGGTATAATAACTTTACCAGACCTTCACCAAGAGCATGTATCACAGTGTTGTCTCCTAAATATATTTCGGTTGGTGTTTGATATTCAACATAGTCCACAAACAAATCCTTGTTGTGTGTCATATGCTTTGTTGCAGCGAAATAGATGAGCCATTCATCAGAGGGTTTAATATCATGAATAAGAGCAACATCAATTCCTTCAATAACACATGAACTTCCTTCTTTCTTATTGGATGTATTCAACGGACAATTTCTTGCTATGTGTCCCACCTGGTTACATCTGAAACAGGTAACATTTCTTCCCCAATCGGAATCACACCTTCTTTTTTCGTTTCCCATGTTCCATCCTGGTTTGCTGTGTTGTGAAATTTCTTCGTCGCAATCGTCGCCGTATCAGGAGGAGGAATTTCATTTCCTTCTTGTGTAAAACGCCCTAATCCTCTTTTCATCAGAACTAACTTAACATTGTATTTCCAAGATTGGTAATTTTTTCGTGACAATTTAGCAATCTTTGTTATTTCGACCATGATCGCTTCGTTATATATGACAACAAAATTTCTCGTTTTTATTTTAACAGGACAAAATTTTTATCTTCTATATCATTAAATTACTTCTACGTCCTAGAACCATAACTTGTTTAAATAACACGTCAACGCTTGCTGGTAAAATTATAAAAGAGTATAATTAAAGCTAATAACTTGCACTCCTTATGTCTACAAGACCATGTGCTCTTTAAAATATGTATTAATTTACATATTTAAATGACGTAATAAACTTAACTATATACATATCTTTTAACTATTGAATATCTCTTCTCGCAAACTATCATATCCTAACATTATCAAATAAAAACATATGACAATTCCTTCTGGATGTTTTAAAAAAGTAAAACCCTATTTTTGGGCTTACACCAGCAAGGACATACAATTTTAGCATAAATCTAGCGCGTCAGCAAGCATTTTCGAAAGCGACCAAACATTTTTGAAAACCAGCTCGTTGCAGTGGGCAAAGCAGTGAATATAAAGCGCATATTTGCAAACTTCATCATTTATTAGCACCGCCAAACCTTCAGTGTTAAAGCTCCATCAAATGCCATAGCAGCCATTCTTTGAGGATGCAAATTGCAATGCACCAATATGTCTTTAACATACTTTAAAAGGGCTTCAGATGATAAACCCTCGTCACATGGCATGACGCCAATAAAATCTTCTAAAACGTTGTAGTTTTTAGTACAATGGTAAACAGAAATAGATAATTGTTTAGTTTTCAAAATGTCACTTGATTCATTGCAAATTATAGCATAAAATTTACTATTATTTACTTCATTAAAAAGACTTTTTCAAGCACTCAGAACCAATCTTTCGTCTGGTTCAAGTAAAATATCGTGACACATGTATTGATTTTCTTTTGAAAGGAGATGTAATCCTTCTTGGTCGATGTCTTCGTTAAATTAAATGATGTTCGACTCCTCGTCTGTATGACTCTGACTTGCTACACCCAGTGTAAGAAGTGTTTTTAATATATTAAAATGGGCTACCAAGCCTTGTCGCCTAAGACGTTGCTGCATTTTTACATGGCTACTTATCTGCAAATCAGCTGTAGGCTGGGTATTTCTTTTCTGTTTAGTAGCGTTCTTGTGGTTTTCGCTTTGGTTGAGACCTGTTAGACGTTCTACGCCTTTCTTCCAGTTACAGAAACCAGTGGCAGATTGAGTGAAGATGAATGTTGAATATTGTATGCTTGCCTGTATTCTGTACACGTTTTACAAAATGTTGCCCTCTTCTCGAAGTGATATAAGAGCCATTAGTAATTTTTTGAGCCATTCGGACTGGAAGAATCTTCCTTTATTTTTACTTCGAAGCTTTTTTCCATCGTTGAAGTCGCTCATAACTTTGATCCATGGATCAGCATTTGCCGTTGATGTTTCACGACCTGGGTCACAGTCAGTACTGCTAGTTGATGGGGTGAAAACTTCCCTTTCTAATATTTCGTTATCGTGTGTCAATTTTCCACCAATTTCTTGAGAATGAAAAAATGATGCTATTTTGGTTTGACCACTCGTATCAGCAATTATCTTGTTCTTTTTATTTGCATCTTTCTTTGCTCGTAAATCACGTGGTATTGCTCCAAATTTCTACTTATTGAACAAACTGATTTTATTGTTTTACAGAGCAATATTTATATAGTATTCATTACAAATAATAAATATTATCTTTGGTCAAATAGTTGTTCTATCTAATATCTAATCTATATATGGTACATAAGGACGTCATATATGACGTCAATAAGTGTTTCTTGTGTGTTAACCGTATGGGAACAGATACATTGGTAAACCCAACTATGTACATTCTATTTCCCTCAACGTATTTTTGTGCTTTATGAACATGACTCAACACAAATGATGAAATTCTGCCAGCAGAATTCGATTGTGTAGTTGCCGTTCCCACAAACGCGAAGTTTTATGTTCCTCATAACAAAAGCGTTACTAATTTAACATGTAGATTTTTCATAGTAAACAGTACTTACACATTACATTCTCTGCCTTCAAAATGAATGTTTATTTCGTCCTTAGAAATTAATCAAAATGTTTTATAAAAAACGCGCTAAATTACAGCTGAATTAAAGACACACAAGGTAACAAGACTTCGAATCAGATAAAAGTCAAAGAATCTGTAAGTGGGAGCTTGCATATCGGGAATTTAGATATACGTCTACCATTTGTTCAAAATGTGAAAAGGGGTAACCATCTGACCCCGTGGCCATGGCGCCCCTGGTAAAGTTCGTTTCCATAAAATTTCTTTGCAAACGTACGCCAGGAAATGACGTTCACCAAAAAGCA